ATGTATGCTCCAAATGGAGACTCCAGCCTGCTTGATATGCCCTAGCTTTATGGTAGCTCTCTTATTACTGTCAAAAAATTTAGTGTCCAAGTGCAAAACTTGGCCATCAACCCCGACTGACAGTCCGGGTTTTAGGACATCATTTGAGTTGCATACTTTATGTACTTTAGGATTTACATCAACCAGAACCCTACAATTTCACTCTCTTAGTTTTCATTCAATATGACTTTTCATCTCGAACCAATGGTCGAACAAATCTAGCAAGCAAAAGTTTCAGAAGGGTAGAAAGCACGAGGCGCTGCCTCTTCTTGAAACACTTATCTTACTACTTCAGTTTCCACCATGACGATAGAACTAATTGACTAATGTTGATACATTGTTCAATGCATATAACAAGCTATCACCATCAATCTGCTAATATTAGTCATAAAAAAAGGATGACACCTCATCCCTGAGGGGCCCAACACCGATCGGACAGCTAGTTGGGAGGATCTAAATTGAGCTTTGATCTCACTCTAATGGAAAGAGAGAGGAGCTCCATCCCAAGTCATTGTTTGGAGTTGAACCTGAGACCTCTCCCTTGTGGCACTCCCTTTCTACCAGGTGAGCTACGCCTCCCAATCTGCTAATTTTAGTCATTGGCATAAGCTGGTGGTGCAACAGAACTGCATCTAACCCCTTTCCCCTTTTCAACTTCTGTTGTGTTAACTTACAAGTAACTAGTTTTTCACCCGTGCGTTGCACGGGATGTAATTTATTAATTTCTTCATATTTGAGTGTTAGTGGAACGGAGGTAGTACATTTTACCATGTACTTTGAGAGCAAAACTAAAGTCTCGAGACAACTCATAAAATTATCGCGTTGACATATATGTATGTGTATTACTATGTTATGAAAATTTTCAATTATTTTAATAAAACATGAGTATAACTCAATATTTTTATTCACTATTGTGGAATTCAATGAAGTGTTAAAAGTGGTTTAATGCATCAAATCCCCGTGATATATACATTCGGTACATTGTTATTCATGCGCAAAATCCATAATTAACAAATTTAGTTGGATTGTCAAAGAAAAGAAATTTAATTAGTATTCATTAGTAATATTGGATAATGTAGAGATCTTGATAAACTCACTTGCATATTCAATCATAATATTAAGATAAATTATTTTCAATTTTTTAAATTTAATTTTGGGGGATTTTTTGCGAATGAATAATTATAATAGTGAGGGTTTGATGCAATTTTTAAACATAAAATTGTTATCTGGGTTGATTTCACCCTTTGATACTACCACATATAAGTGACTATAGGTAAATAAAGGACCGGGTAACATAATGAGGTGCATTTACATGTTCCAAGAAATTGAGATACACATATCCTCATAGATTTCATCTTATTAGATGTGAAAGGAGCTTGATGCACAATAATTACTACCCCGTAGTATAAAAATAGGACATTAAACCTTAGACTCATGCAGTATAAATTTGAGATAGTATTTACTCCTTTCACAAAACAATCGTGAAGAGTATTGATGTTTAAATGCATTTAGAGAGGCAAAAAATATTGATTGTAGAAAACCTATAAATCATTCAATAAATTAAAATTATCGAAGGCATAAAATGAATACTTAGGTGTACTTGTTCGGAATAAATTCAGCGAGTTCCAAATAGAAAAAATGGAAATGAATATTACAGAAAATACTTTGCAAGACTGAATCTGTGAAAACAATGTTGACCCATTTGAGCTCCGTTAATGACCCATATTTGCTGGTAAAGTGGTAAGATAGATGTAAGGGAGGAAAATTATCGATTTGGCTCCAGTAATGAACCATTTTCACAAGAAGGAAGAAGAAAATGAGGGAAAGAAAAAGTGTGATTTAAAGGATTGAGAAAAAAGATTAAAAAAAAGGATTGAGGAAAAAAGAACATGAGTGGAGAACAGATTAAATGTGTATATATAATTGAATATAAGAAATATGATTAAATTGAAAAAGAAATTGAATACAATTAAACTGAAAAGAAACTTAATATCATTAATTATTATTAAAATTATTATTAGAGACTTAATACCATTAATTATTATAATTATCATTTTAAGGTTTATCATTATAAACTGAAAAGAAACTTAATACCATTAATTGTAATTATATGATTTATAATTAGGAGAGAGAAGTGAGAAGTTTTAGGGAGATGGATTCCCCCTGTATATAGGATAGGATAGGATAGGACAAATTATATCCAAAGTTTACTTCGTAGTATAACTTAATTATATCTAAAAACTTATAAGCACCAATGACGGTTAGGGTATTTTAGGAATGATAAAAATGTTGGTGTAACACTTGATCAATATGCACTTGTACAATATATTTTAATCATTGTACCATTCACCATTACCCATATTTATGACCCTACCTCCGTTAAATCCTAACTTTTAAGTTTCCTTAACATTCTATGTACATAGTATGTAGTATATGCTACTAGCATTAATTTCCATTTTATGCTTTCATTTGTTTTTACATTTTAATTTTTTTCTCTACATTACTTTATCTTATACGAGTATGTAGAAGATAATTTTTTGGGCATGCTTGATATTTAGCGGTTAGTGTATAGCGGATTATATTAGCGGGTTTTCCCAATAGCGAATTTAGTCAACGGGTTTGATTAGCGGAACAAGTTGACAGGTTGTCAGAAAATGTTTAGTAATTTAGTTGTTTGGCTTTAACAATTAGTAGAAAACGCTATATGGTTGTTTTTACTATTATTTATTACGGAGTATTTAACAACAACAATGATAAATAATAGTATCCTCCTACTCTTTGCATTTCTCCAAATTCAATAAATATGTGAGGTGTTTCCTGGCCCTCACCCCAAAACCTCTCGGTTTTGGTCAAATACCGGGTGCAAAAAAAAAAGAAGTAAAAACAACCATCTATCTTTATGATCAAAGATATAAAAAAACATAAATTATTGTTATTAATATTTGAAAAATAATAACATTATCAAAATAGATTATTCAGATTAAAAAAATCCAATTTTATGTAAATTTATATCTTCTCTCTATTTGCAGAAATGATTACTTCAGAAGTACGCCTTTACTTTAAATTTTTTAACTTGTGTGATGATAAAACCATAACACATAGCACATGCATACAATAAACAATTAACACATCATAAAAAGGTAATGAGAAAATCAATTATGCAAAATTGAACATATAACTCTATTACACCAACAACCATTTCATTCATTATATCTATGAAAATATTATTGGGCAATCTTTTCTCGCGCATAGCGCGAGCAAGAAACTAGTATTATGTGATAAACAAGATGAATTTTATTTCATTGGTAGTATACAACTTAAATAGTTTATAAAGTGATAAATAAAACAATTTTATCATGAACGTTATATTCGTATTAATTAATTGTCCACATAATTCTAAATCCATTTTGAAACTTAATAATAAATACCCCAGCTTTACTAAAATCTTAGTTGTATTTTTAGTAAAGTTAACAGGCTTAAGTTTTTAGTTCTTGTAATTATAGTGTGTTTTGATTTAGGTCCTTGCGAAATAAAAAAAAGTTGTTATTGATCCTTGTAATTTACACAACTATCTTTTTTATCCCTGACTGTTAACCTTTGTTAAAAAGGTAGATTCTATGATACCCTTAAGGTATCATACCTTTATCCACTTGGACCAATCAGAATCATACAGTTGAATATTTAAATCTAAATTAAAAAAGATATAATGATTTGGACCAATCGAATGGATGATAGGTATGGTACCCATTTTTTAAATAGGTACCGGAGTTGTCACTAAAGTTAAAAATGATGTCATGGCTCTTACCATTAAGAGTTATACCATGTTAGCACTCATGGTATATGATATACGTGTACTACAATAATTATATAGTTATACCATGTTAAGACTCCTTCCAACTCATTCCATACTTGAAATAATTATATCATTTATTTAATTAGGGTTAATTAAGTTAAAATTTCCACTGCCCCTTCATCTCTTTTCTGCGGCTCTAATCCTCCTTAGAGCTGTCAAACGGGCCAACCCGACCCAACCCGACCCGACCTGTAACGGGTTATGCTTTATGTGGGTTGGGTCGGGCCAACCCATTTAATGACGGGTCAGAAATTCTACAACCCTAACCCAATCCACCTAACCCGTGGGTTAAACGGGTTGGCCCGCGGGCCAATGTAAAAAAAATATAAAATGATTTTTTTAAAAATAATAATTACCCGGAAGTATATATTTATATTAGCAAGTAGTAACAAAGGAAATATAAGAATTCAAAATACTAAAAATTCAATACTTGTTAAAATTAATTAAAAAATATTAAATACTAGTTATACGAGAATTTGAAAACTATAAGAGGCTATGTGACAAAAATAATCATTGTATAAAAATAAAGATTTACATAAAACTTTTGATTAATTATTTGCAAATAATGACTACTAATTGTTAAATATTGTATCGAACTTCACAAAAAATATATGTTTCAACATTTTATTAGAATATTTATTATAGAAATAAAAGAATAATACTTTTTTAATTGTAATTATAATAATATTAGTAGTAAAAGAACACTATTTTAGATAATAAAATTCAAAACTATATTTTTTTATTTTGGCCCGCGGGCCAACCCGTAACCCGGTGGGCTAACCCACTTAAACCCGCAACCCGCATGGGTTGACCCGCGAAACCCGCGAACTAAATGGGTCAGGAATTCTCAACCCTAACCCACCAATAAATAGGTTTAAACGGGTCAGCCTGTGGGTTTCGGCCCATTTTGACGGCTCTAATCCTCCTCCGAGCCTCTGGAGTCCGGACTCTTCTTCTTCCCAACTCCTCTCCTTCTCACAAATTTTCTTCTTCTTCTTCTTCTTGGTGTTTTTTGGATTCAGGTATGGTCATTTACATTAATCTCACTGACTAATGAGATTAATGTTGGGGTGCAATGATATGAAGCCGGAAGAGCATGTGGTGGGACCGGACTTGGGCCCACTTCCGTGGGCCGGTTACGGGCTGTTTAATTAATATTTATTATTCATTTTATTTTGTTTCCTAATTTAATTTGTTTCCTAGTAGGATTTATTTAGGACTTCTATTCTTACTAGAATTAGAGGTTTCCTATTTCTATTTAGTTTCCTAGAATGATTTAATTAGGAGTTCTATTAGAACTAGAGGTTTCCTATTCTATTTAGTTTCCTAGAATAATTTAATTAGGATTCCTATTCTTATTAGACCTAGAGGGTTATTTATACCCCTTGTATGCTTCATTCTTGATCATCTGGGAATAAAAGTTTGGTTTAGCCTTTTGGCTTTGGGCAACGATATTTATTTATCGTTGATTATCTGGGCAACGGTTCACCCCGTTGATTTTACTTTTCTGTTCTTATCAATTGGTCCGACCTGCCGGATCCCCGTCCCGCCAAGATGACAAGAACTCAGAACGAACGTCTGGCGGAATTGGAGGCTGAACAGGCCCTGGTAAATCAAAAGCTCGATTCACAAGGAGAGAAACTGGATGTACTGGCTCGGAAACAAGAGGAGCAGGCCGCCCGGCTTGCGGAAATCGCAGAATCCCTGGCAGCAATCGCAAAGGCCATGGTACCGCCAGCGAAGTCTCCAAGCACGACCATCGAGAGCGGCTCCTCCGCCCACATCGCGACTGCTTTCACCGACGAGGGCGGACCGCGCAGCGCATCCACGACACTGCTTCCCTCATTCGACGGTGAAGACCCAATTGGGTGGCTGGCAAGAGTGGAGCAGCAATTCGAGCTCAACAGGACCCCACCGGATAGACAAATTGCAGCGGCTAGGGTTTCTATGGAAGGGGCAGCCCTCTATTGGGTGACATGGTTAAAGGCGCGCAAACCTGGCATATCCTGGGAGGAATTTAAGCAAGCCTTGGTGGCTAGATTTGATTCCTGATATCAAGGAAACAGATTTGAGCGGCTAGCTGGCGTTAAACAAATTGGGCAAGTGGAAGATTACAATACTTTGTTTGTACAACTCGCCAGTCAAGTACCCGGATTAACTGACGATCATTACTTGGGCTATTACATGAGTGGGCTTAAGGAGATAATCCGAAGCTCGCTGCGATTACTTCGACCAAACAACCTGGAGATGGCTATGGAATTAGCTCGCGAAGTGGAGTATAATCTGTCCGTCCAAAGTGGAGAAAGTGGCAGCCTGAATTATCATTCTTCGGGGATACGTTCCAGCAGTTTTGTAAGGGCAAACACGGGTCCCCCGTTGACTGCCACCGGTAGCAGCTTACAGGGCTCAGGGGGCAGCTTTGCGAAGGATAGTGGGCAGCCTCCGGGGACAAAGTCAGGGCTGTCTGGGCAGCCTACGACACGATCCCAGTTCACCCGTCTTGCGCCAAAAGAGTTAGCAGATTTGAGGGCAAAAGGATTATGCTTTAGATGCAAGAAACCAATCACGCCAGGGCATGATTGTCCCTTTAAGCAGCTGCGGGTAATGATAGCCGAGGAGGATGAAGAGTTGGACCTCAAGCAGCATGAATTCTACGAAATAACCGGCCAGGAAAGGGTTCATGAAGGAGAAGAAGGATATTTTCCAGTCTATACTATGTCTGGAAATTTCAGCTCCCAATCAGCGAGTTTTCAACCTTGAGGACAAGGTTATTTTAAGGGGGGTGGATTGATATGAAGCCGGAAGAGCATGTGGCGGGACCGGACTTGGGCCCACTTCCGTGGGCCGGTTACGGGCTGTTTAATTAATATTTATTATTCATTTTATTTTGTTTCCTAATTTAATTTGTTTCCTAGTAGGATTTATTTAGGACTTCTATTCTTACTAGAATTAGAGGTTTCCTATTTCTATTTAGTTTCCTAGAATGATTTAATTAGGAGTTCTATTAGAACTAGAGGTTTCCTATTCTATTTAGTTTCCTAGAATAATTTAATTAGGATTCCTATTCTTATTAGACCTAGAGGGTTATTTATACCCCTTGTATGCTTCATTCTTGATCATCTGGGAATAAAAGTTTGATTTAGCCTTTTGGCTTTGGGCAACGATATTTATTTATCGTTGATTATCTGGGCAACGGTTCACCCCGTTGATTTTACTTTTCTGTTCTTATCACGCAATTTCTCCATGGCTAAATTTTATCATATTGATCAAGGATTTAGCAATACTTGCTCCCAACAATTGATACATGTTTTACAATTGCCTATACTTATTGTTCTCTGCTTTATTTGGGTAAGCTTGTGATTACTGATTATCATGTATGCTATAATGCACTTTTGAGATAATGTTTACTACAAAACCGTTTAAAAATTATATAAATCAAAGTAATTTTGGTAAGACCCATTTTGGCTAAATAACGATTAGTGAATTTATTCAGATTATTTTACTAAAGTGAGCCTTCATATTGTAGTTCTAAAAGCGAAAAATTGTATATTCAATTTAGCAACAGTGGTATTAATATGCTAGTAGATACATGGTGCATAGACGTGTGAGCCAGAATTTTGATGATTTCAAAACATTTTATAAACCTTTTTATAAACATGAGATAAACATGTTATAAACTCTTTTTTTCATTATATAGGTGTATTATTGTGAACAGAATTGTGTTTACAAGTGATATGAGTATCGATTTAATGTATAATAATTAGTTTCTTTTCTATTTTGACATATTTGTATGGATAAGTTTTGAAATGGTTATTCACCATGGGGTAACTTTCTGCAAGAAGAATACATTGGCGGTTTCCAATATGTAGAAAAGATTTTCGATGTTGATAGGTGGACTTACTTTGAGGCAATCGGTATAGTGAAGGAAATAGGGTACACACATGATGAGTTGTTGTGGTACAGAAGTGATTATACTTATTAAAGGAAAGGATTAGATGTGACCAAGATGCTGCAGAGCTTGTTGCTTTTGCCTTGAAAAAATGAAAATGATTTCATATTTTTATTGAATCTACTACTGAGAATGAAGCCACTAATGAGAATTCCCATGTGGTTGCCGATGAAAGTGATACTAATTGTAGTTGTCGTATGTGATACTGAGATGAAGGACGTAGCTAGGGAGGCTTGCTAGATTCCACTATAAAATTGAATAGCTACTTATGATTTTTTTCCATAAAATCTTGCCCATGAAGAGAGTGAAGTTCACGGTGTTTAGAGAAACGTTGGTTTCCATTTGGAGGCAATGAGGCATAGCATAGGAGTTGCCATTAAGGAGATCGGTGATGAGATGCACGTCTTCTCTTTTTATCATGAAATTGAGATGAAACATGTTATTGAATATGACCCGTGGTTATATGATTAGAATCTGGTACTTTTGCATGAATTAAGACATGATGATATACCTTTGAAAGTTTCGTTAAAATTTTTGAAGTTATGGATTCAACTCATTCAAGTTCATAACCAGCCAGTTCCGTTAAATTGAAAAGTGTACCAAACACAACAGCGGAATAAATGTTTAGACAATAATATTGAATGCAGTAGAGAAATAGAATGATCTATTAGAATGATATTATTGTATGCTTACTGAGCTGATAAATCGTTTTTGTCATAGTGTTTTTCATAATTAATGTTTGTCGGGATGGTAGTAATTTAAGTCGCTCTTTGTGGTTGTTTGTTGGACACATGTTGTGATCTTTTCGTAGGGCAGTTTTTGTAGCGGAACTTGCCTGATCAGTGATTAGCGAATTAAATTACTACGCATTTTTTAGTGCGAGTTAAATATGGGGGATTAAATTTGAAATAAAACATGTATTTAAAAATAATGGCAGATTAAATTTGAAAGTGTAAAATATGGGGGAAAACAATAATAAAATATCACGAGGAATAAAATATTGATAAGAAAAATTACATAATAATGGATTTTGTAGTAAAAACATGATATTTTGATAGATGCAATAATATTATAAATTTTTTGACTTGTGTGTAATTAATTGTAAAAACATAGTGCATGAGGAGAAGAAAACAAAGTGCGGGAGGAGTGGTCCATGTTAGAAGGAGGAATCAAACTTAACACATATGATTTGGAGTCGAGGAGCTCGATCCACGAGGATAAAATCATTGTGATCGATTGAAGAAGCAGATGGATAAGAGAGCCGGTTTCGATCGGGGGGGGGTCAATTAGGTAAAGGTAAGAGAGCGGATGGATAAGAGATGGATAAGAAGATGCAAATGCTATTCATTTTGATGATAGCGGAGAGGAAAGATCCGTGGGGTTTGATTATTGTTTTATTGATGAAATTCCTACAGAAATACATCCTAGTATTGACTTTAATGGTCTTAGATGCAAACTTAAAACAAAGTCAGCTAGAAGAAATGGTAAAATAGTTGTTGTGCATGAAGACCAGCCAAACTACGATACATGTAGTGCTCCAGAGGCAAATGATGAGTTTTATAGCCATGAGATCGATAAAAGATGAATATCAATCTGACGAATTGTATATTTCTGAGCGTGAATCAGAATCAGATTCCATTGTGAAGAAGAGGTTTCCGATATTTAGAAAAAGAAGAATTGGACAAGAACTATAAATCTAAGGTTGGTTTGGAGTTCATGTCTAGCTATTTAAGAGTTTAAAGAAACAATTCTTGAGCACTCAGTATTAAATGGAAAGGAGATTAGGTTTGTGAAGAATGACAAAGTTAGAGCTAGAGCAATTTGTAAGACTAAATGTGATTTTACTGCATTTGTGAGCAAAGAGAGGGACAACCACACGTATAGGATGAAAACCTATGTAGGTAAACACACATGTGGTTGGGTTTTCAACAACAAAATGTCAATTCAAAGTGGTTGTCCAAACCTGTAGCTGAGAAACTAATATCATCTGAGAATGTTAGTGTACAAGCTTATAAACGAGGTGCGGAGGAAGTATGCTGCTGGTATTGCACCTTATAGGGCTTGGAAGGTCATCAAAATGGCTAGAGAAATTGTTGAAGGTAATGCCACAAAACAATATACCTTACTGCGGCAGAATTAAGAAGGGCTAACAAAGAAAATACTTTTAAAATTACGGTGGAAAGGATTCGCCCAGACATACAACCAAGATTTGGATCGTTCTATTTTTTATACGTAGTATTGTAATTCTCACTTAATCTTTTGCATTTATCAATTTTTGTCTTAAATTTAAGCTAGCATTCTTAATTTATTTATTTGTTATGTTTGTTATTGGACCAATCAATTTATTCATTTTCAATATAGTTGGAGATCCTAACTATAGTCTACTGTGCAGTAAAGGACACCTATAAGAAATTCAGATAATTCATTTAAGCTCTAACTCACAAGTGGTAGAACACTTATACATCAAGTTGTTGATGATATTTTCACAATTTTTTGAGTTTAAATAGTTCAATGATATAATAGACGAGTAAGTTTGCATTATACATTTCTTATTCATTTCCATTACAATGACACATTCAGATAATTTGATGATACAACAAATATAATATTTAGTAGCACATATACTAAGGCTTTGTTTGCAAACCCAACTAAAAAAGCACTTCCCAACTTTTGGCTTAAAAAAGCTAAAAAAGATGTTTTCAAATGACAACTTCTACTTAAATGAACTACTTAAAAGCTAAAAGCTAGAATCTGCTTTTTACTTTTTCTATTACACAAAAAACACTTATTTTACCAAACACCACCAACTTTTACTTTTCAAAATCATTTTTTTCTCAAACACTACCAACTTTTACTATTAATCACTTTTTTACCAAATCATTTAAAAAGTTAAAAGCACTTCCCAGTTGGGTTTGCAAACAGAGCCTAACTGATTGGAGTACTAAAATGAGGCGTTCTTAAAGTGTAGATCTCTTGACATCAGCTATAGAAGCTGCAGATGAAATCAAGAAATATATTCATTCCTCACACCTGGTGATATTTTAAATAGATTACTTACTTATTAAAAACTAAATAAAGTAACAGTTTAAATTAAACATACTAATATTTTAATATTTTAGGTGAAGAAAAAGAACATTCCAATTATAATTTTGTAGTCAAGTCGGATATACTATGTCCAAACAAAAGGAATCGATGTCACCTGAGCGGCTGAGCTTTGATATTCCTTAAGAACATTTGGTCTTCCAACTTCCAAGATAAGATTCAAGGTTGAGACTAACAATTTCGTTGTGTACTATAGACAAAACTTAATTAATTTTCACACGAGTGAAAATCATGTAATTTGGAACAAGAATATGTCTAGAGGCAACTCAGAACAATGACATTTACATCTCATGTGTACATCTCGTTCTCAATCTATGTGAAAATTTAAACCTATCATAAAAAATACTCTCAAAAATGAAA